TTTTGAAGACATTCCATTCTGAAGGCCTTGTGAAAAAGGATAGTATTTACACTGTTCCTGAATGACAAATAAAGGTCTTTTCTGACTTAATGTACCCAAGTCAGGGTGGTTTTGCTGAGAAGGGCATCCTGTGGACCTCCTTGATCTCATCTTTCCCAACTGGACCACATTGGATAGGCTGATAGTCCACCCCTTCCATTCTCTCATATCTTCCAGGCCCTGCTGGTCCTGGTAGAGATATGCATTTGAGTGTCATCAGCATATTGATGACACCTGACACCAAATCAATCAATGACCACCCATAGTGGCTTCATAGATGTTAAAAAGAATAGGGTAAAGGGCTGAGCCTCTGAAGTGCCCTCAAGCAGTCCTCTCCCAAAGCACTGACTGGAAACATCTGCTCAGGAAGGAACAGAACCACTTTTAAGTGTGTGTGTGTGTATGTATTACAGCTGAGAATACTGCAGGCTGTTCCCTGTTCTCTTGGCCAAAATCTAACACTAATAACACGGTAACTTTAATGTTCAGAAGCTGATAATCTTTTAAGGTATAATATTTCATGGTCAGCTCCAGCATTAATGCCATTCAAGAGCTTCATCTAAAAGAAAATTAAATTGCCTCTGATTTCATTGGTGCCCTTCTCTTGCCTCATCTGAGTTACATCACTTAGATGTTGCACGCTCATACAGTACAAGCATTTTACTTACAGTATGTGGCATACAGTATTTGCTGTTAATATGTGCTTGTTTTTCAGTGAGGCCTCTGATTTTACAAGAATACTTGTTATTGCCACACTTTCCTCTTCTTTGATAGAGCACTTTAAAAGAACCAAGCAGCTTTCTAAATTTCAAATAGCTGGAACTGTCAGACTGCAGCCTAGGATTTTTCTGAACTTTTCTTGCAATGACCATTGATAAAGTCGTCTTGAAATTAGATTCGTGACTTAAGCAGTAGCTTTCAAACTCTGGTCAACCTCAGCCAACCAGCCAACTGGGTTTCCTGAAATGTTGCCATTAAAGGAAACCCATAGGATTTCAGGAAATGCTCCCCCTTTTCCTGTTGTCTGTTAAATGTTGACAGTTTTGTGAACTCTACAAATGATCGGTGAACTCTGGAGCGGCCATTACAATATCCTAAGCAGAGATGACCGTGACTCCAAAGAAGGAGGACATGATGAAAGAGAGAATGACAGTGTTGAGGAATTATTTTTAACCACTCAATGCACCTGCAGCTAAAAGAACCATAACAATAAAGAATAATGTGTGGTATGAACTCACTAAATCTTTACAAATTTTGTTCCTCTGATGCACATTTTCTTATCTTGTAGGTTTTCTTTTTCCTTTTCCTCCCTTTGTTAATTATACACAAGCACTTGTGGGATATTTTGCTTTTTTTACTAGCAGGTCAAAGCACTCTCAGCAACATTTTTAACATTTGCACCCAGCCAGCTTCTGGGTTTGGCTTTCTGTTTTATTTTGTCCTCTTTTTACTATTCATTTTGCCTCCCCATCATACAGACTCCTTGGACACCAGCCAAGTTATGTCTTGTGTATTCTCATGTGTCCAAATCCCATCCCACTAGAAGGGTCAGGCTACCATATTTGGGTTGCAGAAATCCAGAGGGCCTCCAGCTGGAGGAAAAACATGCAGAAAGCATTAATTCTTTATTGTCCCTTAGTGGTCCTCTGGATTTTTGCAGTCCACGAATGATGGCCCAAAGGAAGGACAGAGGAGACAAAAACAAGGCAGGCAAATGGTGAATCTGCCAGAGGGTAGAGGTGAAAAGGGCATGCTGTCCAGATATAATGCTAGGTGGGGATGACCTTGGGAGATGGGGAAAAGCCACAGCCAGGGGAATGGTTGGAGAAGAGGTAGCTTAACCCACAAAAGGAATGTGGGCATGGCAAATGTCTCAGAAGGGACCTTCTTTACATTAGCAGAGTTCTGGACTTTTGTCCATCTTGCTATTTTGAATGTTTGGTGGGCATACAGATTTCTCTGCAAGCAATGTGTTTATAGAAAGCCTTGTGCAAGATCAAAGAGTTGAAAAAGACAGTTTTCAATTATTCCATCTATACCTGGACATTTCTGGGTTTAGTGTAAGCAGGATGTAGGGGTTGGAGACTGTCCTTGGCAAGTCTGCATTAGAACTGTGTATGACTAAATTGGCATTCTGTAGCTTTCTACTGCTGTTTCTAATCTGAAGGACCTCTTCTTCTTCAGAATTTATTAATTGCTTTTTTCCCTATAACTTAGTTTGTTTCTTGTCTGTCTATGGCTGAATCTGCTCTCTCTCCCCTCCTTGCTGTCTATCTCCTTGACATCAGAAATTCTCATCTCCTTGGTATGTCATCAAAACTGCTTGATCAGCTTCATCTGTTTCTTCTTCCTCTTCTTCCTTTCCCTTTTCGAGAGCATGCTCTGTGCTCTCAAAAGGATGAGACACTCAAATGTGTACAAAAGGCAGACTGGTTGACTTCTGTGGAATATCAGTTGATCCTGGGAGCACCAATATGCCTGAAAACCTTTTGGCTCAGTGTCAGAAGACTGTATTCAAAAAGTGAATTCATCAGCCATTTTGCTGTTGCATCAGCCAGTCCTGCATGCTAACTTTCCAGTAAAAGAAAAGCTGGAACAAGTCTTTCTTTGCATATTACTCACAACTCTGATAACAAACTGTTAATGAGCAAATCCCTAACTTAGACATGAAGCAATCAGGAAATTTTCCTTAGAGAACTCAGGCAGAAGTCCTTAGGCAAGTGTTTCTCAACGTTGGCAACTTGAAGATGTGTGGACTTCCACTCCCAGAATTCACAGGTCTACTTAAAGCTGGGGTTCCAGGGGTAAAATCCTGAAACACAGACTGATCAGATCCCCTGCAGTATGCTGTGGTCAATGTCCTAAAGTTGTTATTTAATGGTTATTTCCACATGCAGACCTTACAAGGCATGCTCTTACAGTAAACTCCCATCAAACACACACACAAGCCATGGGTTCACACATGACGCCACCAAACTGGAAGAAAAGAGGCCAACCCAGAGAAAATGTAGCATATTACATCTGCCCCTCACAAGGTGTGCACTAAAGTGAGTAAGGCTGTGCACATGTTAGCGTGGGATTATATTGATGCTTAAGTTTAGAAATTGGCTATGTTGTCTCAAAACTTGCTAATGCTACATTGTACACTATATCCTCATTTTACTTTCTTGGAGTACCTATGATTCTTATTGTGAAGTTTTCATGAAAAAGAAGTAAAATTATTTTGACTCTCCCATGAACTTTGTCTCATGACTGTTTCTCAGTATGGGCATTAACTACCCCATACATTGAAGCAAATACACCAAAACACAACAGATAAGCTACTGTTCTGAAGCATATTGTCTGCTATGTGATTTATTCTTGGGGTATCCTGGTCCTCAGTAATCACTCCAACTGTATTACTACTGTTAAATCTTAACTGACATCAGAGAGCTATAGACCCATTAATCGTCCTATCATCAGAGTGCTTTTAGATGTCCCAGACTCCCATCACTGGATGGCAGGTGAAAAAAACAACTTCCAAACTATTTAAAAGCCTATATGCCCCGTGTAATGGTATGTAAGAATGATCTTGGGAGACAGGAGGAAGAGCCGCAGATAGATAGGACAACCATCATGTAAAGGGTATCTCAATCCACAGAAGGAAGGGGTGGGCTGGGGTTGGGAAGCATTTCAGAAGGGACCCTCCGTAGTTTTCGGGAGATTAAAGGAAAGGACGGGAGAAATACTTTCAGACTTTACTGCTTCTGTTCATGTAACAGAGCTTGTCTTTATTGTTGTGCTTCTTATCTAGACTAGCCCCTAAAGGCAAACACCCTGGCACTGAAGCTGTGCACCATTCTTTTGTTAACATATGATTGCTTAAATTTATGAAATGCTTGAAACTGAGCCAAGCCATGTATTTCCAAGCAGGCCTTTCCTAAGGTTTATGCAACATCCTCTGTCAGTTTTCCCATTCTCAGAATTTAGGGTTTAATTTTCGCAGGCCTGGTCCTGTTGCCCCTTTCTGTGACCACATCCTCCCCTGAATTATTAAACATGTCTTTTATCATCCATAATACAGCCTTTTCCTGTGTGCTTCTCTTTATTAATTGCTTCCATGCACTAGGATAAATCTTTTCCCCTCTCTTTTAAATTCTCTACACTATCTGTTCTTAAATTTTCCTTTTTTCTCATCTTATAGCAAGAACTACTTAAACGTTAGAAGTGAAGCAGTATTAGCAATTGATCATGAAAAATATTAACAATAACAATAATAACCACCCCTTGGATAGTCCCATCAACCCTTCGGGGTCAATATTGACCACTTTGGGGACCCTGATATTGAGAATCATCAGGAAACCCTCACACGTTGGGTTAAGATAGCTTGCAGCTGAAAGAAGTAACACCATTCATTCTCAGCATTTTCTCCATCTTTCAGTGTTGTTTCCTCCACTCAACACATAGAACCAAAATGGCAGTTTTGTTCTTGGGCTCCTGAACAGTCATTCAATCAACCTTCTATTTTCATCCTGCCTAAGGAGCTAAAGAATGGGGTACAAGGATCACGTCTCATTTTACTCCTACAGGAACAACCCTGTGAAGTAGCCTGGCTTGAGAGAAAGTAATCCATCCAGTGAGCATTATGGTTGAGTAATGTCTTGAATCTTAGTTTCCCTAGGCCTAGT